AAAGAGATGCGAAATATTTTGTTGTGGCTGCCTTAATCATCATTTCCTTTATTGTGAATGAAATGAAACAAATCTATTGCACATATAATGAATGGTTGAGCCGCTGCGGATATATCTTTCCTCATACCAGAATTGTGTGTTTTCCAATGAGAAGACTCATGTGTGCAAGAAGTGGCGTCTAGCGAATTGGACAGAAAAATAAGATAACATGGGATACATTTAGCACCAACTGTACGGTACGGGGACAAGGCCCCTACGTTTTGAATTTTACGTCAGGTATTGTCATTAGTCTGGGCTGGCTCCCAGCACGAAACGAGGTCTGTCTATGCCCAAACCTAAATTACAACGTGTCCGTAAGATGAACAGTCAAATACGTTATCCACTAAGTTGCCACGAAGAAACGGACACAAAGTCTATCTATGAACGATCAAAATTGATGCAATTACCTAATCATATACTGGCATCATATCGGTCGTTCACGTTGTGATTAATGAAAACGAACATAAATGATTAAACCTTGGAAAACATAAGAGAGAGTAGGCAGAGCTGAGTTACAATTTTGAAAATGTAGTTTTATCATTGGAAACGAGTGGGGTGAAAAGACAATTGATTTACAGTTAAGAAAACACAGCTTTACAGTTGACGCAGATACGGCGAACAATTAGGTGAGAGTTGTTCGTGTGAAAAAAAGATAAAAAGGTACCGATTGTTAAAATAGCTTTGGTATTTCACAATATTGTTTTTGATGTGAAACTGTTCTATAAACTATCTAAAAACCTAAAGTGCTTAACAAAACCAGATTTTGCTAGAGACTCCTATGTTCCAATAATTTTATGAAATTCGTATCAATAACTAAACTCAGCTTTATAGCAGGCAAAGAAGTTTTTTGAGGTTCTGGACTTAACTCTAAGAATTTTCTTGCGAGTTTTTTCTACTTACAACAAAAGATTGTTTCAAATATTTCAAATATATCAAATTGATTTCAGAAGTGTTTACCTATTTCATCATTACTATTAGCAACATAACATATTGTGTAGTTGCATTCCCTATTCGTAGTGTATTCAAGCTGCATACACCGCCGTAGGCAGTAAGCCTTTAGTTCAATAGTAATAGGGCTGAAGTTTGAGATCAAACAAAAACATTTTTCAAATTACAGAAAGTGTCTCAGGAATAAATGTCATTAATACTATCAAAATTATCTGCTTAAGTGGACCAATATTGTGATTGCAATGCACGTATTTAACATAAGCCCTAGGCACTTTTTAAATCAGTGTTTAAACAACGCATTTATAAATGAACCTGGGGCAGCCGTAACAAGCGCCCCACGTAGTGATTTTCTAGCATAAAAATAAGTTGGCAAGCTGCTGCCTTAAGCAAAAGTGTACCCGCAAGTGAAACCTACGCACGAATGATATGAATTTATAAAAAAACCTGCTGAAGACAAATTGGATCTGGTCTTTCAATTTAATGAGGATAACACGTTAATTTGATACTAATTACGACATAGCTTAAATATTTTGCTAACTTTCCTGTTTTAGTCCGTTCTTATTATCTACCATATTCGAAGTGGTAATTAAGGACGTAACTACAGTAGTCAATAGGTAACGTGCAGTAATATGTAGCGTCGAAAAATAAAAGTCCCTCGGGACAAAGGTTATTTTTTCCAAAATTAAAAGAAAAAATACACCGCTCAAGTACCGTTGCACTTTGGTCTGAAAGGACGAACATAAATACATGATAGATATAAAAAGACGCAAAATTTTATCATGTGCAAACAACATTGCTTGTATGTAAATCTTTTTTTAGACAGAGTTGTGTTGACGTGTACGTGGTGTAAATTATGATCGTTTGATTGTGTGCTACTATTGTTTTAAAGCACCGATTTTGTGAGTTTATGGTTGTCTAATAATTTTGCAGGAGCTCCTTTTTGTTTGATCCGGTTTCGCTTCGAAATGTTTAACCCAAAATCGATTGTATCTTTTTTACACCACCGCCGTGTTTTTACACCAGGCATTACAAACTCTCCATACATTTACCTATTCATATTTTGTATTACGTATTTTCGTAAAGTTTCATGGCATCAGCAATACTCATTAAGACGCCAGCCGTCGTAAACCAAATTTTGTGCTAATATGAGGTAATATGAATACTGGAAGATTTCAATAACATGCATGATTTCGAGCGCTACTAATTAGCATTTCTTAGAAGACCTATTTCTTTATCAGTTCCGTTTATAATAACTGATAAACGATTCTTCAACAATAACAAATGCTAATAAAATAATAGTGCTAGTAGGAACGTGTGTTGTTGCTATTTTTTAATGGTTCCGCGATTTGCTGCGTATTTCAGGAGACAAAACAAGTCCTAGAGACACTATTATCTTAATTATGGTAAACTACTCGTAAGAGGAGTCTGCTATCGCCAGACGCTACGACTGATAAATTTTTTGGTGGATAGGTGTCATTTCCATACTAGCGCTAGCGTAGGGGGATTAGTTTGGGTGATACGGATTTTGTAAGTTTAGTCAAAATAGACCTTTAATCCTTAATTTAGTCACTTTCAGAGTCGTGCGTTTATATTGTTGTATTCGGTTATATGTATATGCAAGTATTCTGTAAGTTCGCTTAAAGAAAACACGAATTTTCGCCCAAAGACCCTCTATTTGGGTGTATTAAAGAAATTTATTAGTGACGCATGCATCAAAACCTGCAAAGCATGGCTCAACTGGTTTTGCGTCGGACTTACTATCTTAGGGTTCTATGATGTATGACTGGCAGTGATAAAAATATTTTTAAAACAACGAATACTCATGTTTGAGTTCTTTACTGCACAAAAAATATTGAGAAATCTGTTCTTCCTAAAGTCTTAGCTGAAAATCGTTTTTTGGGGTTATATACGCATTTATTATCACTGAAAAAATCTTAAAAGCGCAACTGTCAAATTGAATCAAGTTATTAACTACTCTGCGTTTTTGAAATAATCGAAGGTAACTATAGGTAAGGCCAAACCCTAAACACAAAAATTTCCATGACTGCGCATCTACAATATTGGTTCCGCTATTCTGACTGTATTATTGCTGATGTTCATTATCTGGAGCCTATTAATCACCAAGTCAGAGCCCTTAAGTTGGCAGGTTTATCTTGTCAGTAGGTCCTTCAGTTCGTTAGATGTGCAATTTGGATTTTTGATAGTTATGATTCTAAGGTAACAAGCGTCGAACTGCTACGATTCTTTGCGTTTTCTGATGTGGTCTTTTCATGAACAAAGGTATATCAATATATAAAATAAGGAAAGTGTAATTAAAATTCTTATGCAAAGCGGGCTTCAGTATAGCATTCCAAAATTTTAGAAAGTTTTGGGAAATCGTTGACCTCAAAGAATGGTTTTTGTTAACATCTAATAGCAACACAATGTCAAGAAATGCCTACTTTATTGCAAGTCGTTTTCAGTGTGACCACACCCATATTAAATGAATGTTTCGAGCCATAACGCGAAACCACTATTGGCTTCAAAGCATGCTACGATGGTTCGATAAGCAGCATTAGTTCCACGTCGCTCCCCATCGCCACAAGCGCGTAATCAATACGGAGTGTTGGTGGAATATTTGTCCGAATCAATCGATACATCCTTATGTTTCTGCCAAATGTGTGTACTTCTGTGGCTTACTAATATCACTGGTAGCTTGTCCGCGGTTCCGTCTATTGCTAGTCATGACTTTCTAGACGTTTTTAGTCGTCTCGGATTGCCAAATTGCTACTCACGTTATCCTTTCGGACTGTTCTGCTCTTAATGCCGTTTTACGAATAGTCGGGAAATCCTAACGTATTCTAATGTTTGTCTCTGTCGACACCAAAACTTGAACTGCGTAGGAAACGTGTAGTGACTTGCGTAATATTTAAGCACAATATTATGCAACATTTAGCTTTGAAAGCTAAATTTTGTATTCCGGCAGATTTGACACTTAAATGTTTGTAGAAGCTCTCTCATTACTGTATGTTAACCAAATTACACACTTTTTTTATAAAAACAACACATGTTACCCCTCAAGGATATGCTTAACAAGATTTCTGCACATGCATATCTGCGCTGAAGGTGCAAGAAGAATGATTGACCTAGTACAGTAAATGATCCAGCAATTCAAGCTTTATTAAATTGGTGTCAGCAAGCTCCAGCTAATGGTTTGTTGACTGCCACACCGAAGATAGGTGTACATCGTAACACCAGAACCTGAAAGTTGCTAGTGAACTCTGTTTTATTGCCTGAAGTGAATACAGTTCGTGTATATATGCTTATACTCAAATAATCTTTAAAATTGTAAGAAGGCTAGACTTGGTTCGGCTTGAAAACTGTAGTGCAAAAACTGCATGTCTGAAAAGAACGATTCGTTTGTGTAGAAAAACAAAAAAACTGTTCTTTGCGGCATTAATGTGTGGTATCGAACATGTAGAGTACTAGACGGAAAGGCACCCTGGTGGGCGTCCATAGCCGACTCCCCCGTGGCGTAATGGTAGCGTATTTACTTAATGGAAGAATACGAAGGCCTAGATTCGACTGCAGGCATAGAGATACATTTATTTTCCTACACAAATTCGAACAATATAAAGGCGATAAATACAAGGACCCTCCATCTTGCTCCGTTCCTCCAAATTTTTCGTATTCAGCCCTTGCCTTTAAAGGTTCTTGACGTAAGGTTTGCACACAGACTATCACATTGTGACAGAGCTGTGCGCGTCGGCAATGTCGACGGCGGTTACTCACTTTCGATACCTTAATATTTAGTTAATTAGGTTGATTAAAACAACATGCTTGGCGCTTATACAACATACGCCAGTGCTAACATTGGAAGCACTACAAGATCTGTCTGTGCATACATGCTAGAATATGTGGTTTACATAGTATGGCCTAGTAGAGAATCAATTGCATACCCTTGTTATTTACTTAGTTAGCAAATTGCCTCTGATTCAGCACTTGATTGCCATGATGTTTTTCTACGTTTTCAGGTGGTATTTCGGAAAAATTAAGAGAGTCGAAGCAGAAAAAAAGCTTTTATCTCCGGAAAACGAACATGGAGCTTATCTGATTAGGGATTCAGAAAGTCGAAGAAATGACTATTCATTGTCAGGTAAAATGTAGAATACATCATTTGAAAATATTAAATTCAGTTGCGCTGACATTTGATAAAATCCCAATTTTTTAATACAATTATCATTGTAATGGGTGAATGTTGTGTTACGATAGGTCGTGTAAAAGACTCCTTGAAGAAAAAATGCGACGTTGTCACTTAGTAAATAAAACATTGTTCAGTCGTTAGTTAATTGTTAGTCCACTGTGTGGACAAGTTGACATCATAGTGACGAAACGAACCCATTTGAAATCCTAGCTTCTGGTTGATTTTGGTAGTATTCTAAAAAAAGCTGTCTAAAATTAGTTCAGCTAAAAATTATGTTTATTCGTTAATATCTCGTAACGGGGAGTAATATTCTTCAGTGTGGTAACTTTTCAATTAAACGTAAGCGAAGTTCTAAATGCTTTGAGATAAGAAATTGACTCACTATTTAAAATCACACGATTTTTAGTCACACGTTTTGCTTTTTGCATTTACACTAAGCATTTTTTAGATGATTTAATATAACTACTAGCGTACTAGCCACCTACGTTCACAGGCTTTGCGTCAGAGTGATAAACGGAGATGTTACCATTACATAATACTAATAAGTAATTCTATCTTCAATTTATACTAAAAGTTATCAGCGCTTACGATGAGTCAATCATAAACAAGGTTTTATTGCGTAATTATTAAGAAATCTTTATATTCTAATTTCATTTTAGTAAGAGACGGTGATTCCGTCAAGCACTACCGTATCCGTCAGCTAGACGAAGGAGGATTTTTCATTGCTCGAAGGACCACATTCCGTGCACTACAGGATCTCGTAGATCATTATAGCAGGGACCCCGATGGACTTTGTGTCAATCTCAAAGCACCTTGCGTTCAGGTTTGTCAGATTTCGACGTCACGCAACCACTGTAAATGCTACAATATTTTTATCGTCCTCACTCAAATCATAAGACCTTTTTTAGTCTTAATAGTATCAGTCGATATTCAGGTAAATAAAAAATGGTTTTTATATTTTTTATCCGAAAGACATTTGATTGAACCGGCAAAAAGTTCTAAGTTATTACCGTGCTATTTCGGTAACGATGAAATGGGTAATAACTGTAGCGGCTCAAGATAATTTTATGAACCTATATTACATCATTATCAGCTTAAAATACCAGTAGTTTGCCCGAATGAAGTTCGACTTTACGTTCAAAATTATTTTTAAAAATTCCACCTTCGTGCACCTACATAATCGCCAATTCAGTAGTGTTTATGCGGCTGATATATGGAATTCGATCTCCCGGTGGGTTCGTAAAATATGAGCTGATTAGTATTGTGCATAAAAATGGAATACCTAATCAGAGAAATTTATCTCTAGCCTTTCATATTGTCTGTTTTTCAAGTAAACTCAATTAGAACCTTTGGGATATTAACATTTTATTCTCGTACTTCTACTTTTAGCTAGAGCCTTTCCTCTTTTGAATTGTGTTGAAGGTTATCAATTAGTTTTTCATAACGATGTGCTGTAGCTAGCACTGTGCCGCCGTTTGTGTGGTGTGTGACATCGTTTTTAAGAAGTAACGTTTTGTAAGGGTCACATTACCATTAGGGTTGTATCAAATTGACTCTGATTTCTTCTGAAATTAAGTTGCAAAGCAAATTAAATAAAAACATTTTTTCTGACTTAAAATGAGACTAAAATAAAGATGAGTCACCAAATCACTTCAACTAATGGTTGTGATCGGTTACGCCTATAATACGTCTATAATAATATATTATACTATATAATGCATTAATTGCTCAATATCTTAAATGCTTTTCTCCACTTCGCGGGACATTATTTATAATTATGGTGCGAGTACTAATGGGAAAAACAATTTAGTGTGACATTGTTTCCAACATCAATAATAATGAATACTCACGAATTTATTTAACAAATCCTATGTAAATGAATAAATATTGAATTCAACAACATGAACAAATATGAGAACTCCAATTTCATGCAATGATTCCACCAAATCTAAAATTTTTATTTTCCCAGTTTAGATCTGGAATTTATTCATTACTAGAAATAAAGAAGTAGAAACTTTTTATGCACATGTAATACTCAAAATAAGAAATTTAGCAACAGAAAAATTTTTTTATACTTTAATTATTTGTGTTGCTTGCTCTTGTCGGAGCGAGCGTGTATAAATTCATATCTGAATTTTAATTACGAATTCCACTTTGCTAACTAACGGAGGCGTGAAAACGAAATCATGTAGCGTAACCTATGTTCACTAGTAGATTTTTGAATTGCTCTGTACTGTTAATGCTACCTTGTTTTTCTCATAAAAATCTTAAAAAAATGACGTATATGTGTTCTGGCTACAGGTAGTTAGAAAGGCAAAGATAGCCGGATTCTGGTATTGCTACTGGCGGTGCATCGAGTGTTGGCTACGAAATAGCTAAGATTCCAACATGTTGTAATTAATGGTTAAGTTTTGTAAAAGTCTAGGCCAATTTTCAGCATCTGGAGGAAAAGCCCAATATATATATAATACGCTGCTGCCTCGAAGTCAAATCGCTTTAAAAAAACGCAAACAGACGCATTGGCAGCTAGACACACGATATCCTTTTAATCAATAGCTAGCTAGCACTCTCTTGAAATAAATAGTTTTAATAATATTAGTCTCTTCGACCCTTGCCGACATAAATAAATCTATTGAATCGCATGACGGATAATGAAGGCGATATTTAAGTGAATAAAAAGCGTATACAAATAATAGCTTGTGTGCGCTATATGAATTGCAAGCATAGCTTTGTAAATACGTTCATCTATGTCTCGCGAAGCTTGAGTATCTTAAGGTTGTTCTATACGTCGGGTCGGAAAAGGGATCCAAAAACTTGGTGGATTTACGATCAACATCGCCCCAGTGTACTTTAGAATTTTTTAGGTTCCGTTTCACGTAATTGTTGAAACTTTTTTGTTGTTATTACGTAATTTTTCGTATAATTGATTAATATTGAAGCAAAGGATTTTAATTATTAACATTGGGTTTATTACTGTCAAACGCATACAAAGTGAGCCCGTAATCATTGTTCAGTTAAGACAAAGTAAACTAGCATATGTTCATAAGGCGGCGTAGCCTGAGTGGCTAATGTGCACCTTTTTGGGTGCATTGTTGTGGTAACCATGATCCTACGGTCATCGTTAGTTCAAATTTTAGCGATGGCAAATAATTATTATGATATATTGTGATCGTGCAGCCTCATAGGCCTGTTAGAGAAAAACTTACGTAAATCCACCAAGACTCGTTTGGTTATGGTTAATGGTTCAAACAGCGGACGTAAAAAATTAAAAAATATATCTATGTCCTTTACCTTAAACAATAGTTTCTAAATGAGCCTGCTGGACGCCATAGATAACTTCGTTGTTATCATATAGTATACGAGCATACATAGAATACGTGGGACTGTCGCACCTTGTAATACTAGGTCAAATGGATATATGGGTCTTTTTATAGGAGGTATGAGATATACTCCATTTAATTACGTGTGTCACAAAATTACACTTTTGATGAGCATTTGCCCTATTATTAACTATTTACGTTATACAAATGGGTGACTTTGCGTTTGTAAAAGAGTATCGTCAAAAAAGCATCAAGAACTTGGCAGCGGACTAACTGCACGTTTTTCAGTCGTCCAACTCTCACTTGTCTCAAGTGTTTTCTGAACTTTCGGAAAAAGAAAAGTTACAGCGGGAATGGTAGAACTAATGAACACAAAGATTGAAGCAACAGCGGCACCGAGTTCTTCCACAAAAAAATGCGACAGAAGTTGCGACGTGAGAGGTGGCATATTACCGTAGTGAAAAACCCACAGAATTCATTCATTCACAGAATTCATTTTTCATCCAGAATTCAGGCCTATTTTGGCCGACAGCATTACGTAGTGTTCCATTATACTCCCTGACAGTCGAAAAAGAGAAAAAGTTCAGTTTCTGACCTGGACCTTGCAGTTTTCTACTGCTTGAACTGTCCTTTGAAGCGATACTCAGACGATTATACGACCCATATACATATGTCTTATCACTTGTGAACCTGGCTTTCTTAGGTGCGATGAAATTTTCTTAAATAGTTTCAGACGGGTCTGCACGTGCTTCACAATTTCGCAACAATCTTTGCTGCGCGCCTTCTTACCACCAAATGATCTTTCAAAATGGTCCAACATGACTCGTGCGAAATGTGTGTGTGTTCTGCGAGTTCCTTAGGGAAGTTTCGACCGTTCCCTAGCACGAGTTCCTTTGCTTTTCCCATTTTTACGTTTGCGTTTGCTGTGGCAGGTCGTTTAAATAAGTCTTGTCCTCAAGGCTTTTTGTCCATTGCAAAACAGTTGGTAACACTTTTACACTTGACAATAATACGTAGCCTAGTACTTAAAAGCCCTGTACAGCATTGACATTACTTGTGCGAACTTAAATTAATTGCTAACATGAAAAGTATTTACGCTCTTTCGAATTCTGTTTTCGTTTCACAAAAAAAAACAAAACATGTCCGAAAGACATACATTTCTATGCGCTTGCAAAAAAATATAAAGCACGCGTTCGAATGCTCTGAAATTTAATTTGTGGATATGAGGTGCAAGCGTGTGTGGCACCACATACCCTGTAACAGGTTATCCTTAGCTAACAAAAGCCATTCGTTATATCCATACCTTTTTAACCCGGCAATAGCAGTGTAATTTTTAGAGAATACTGTCTCCATAAATTGCTGAAGCTCAAGCTATCATATCTACGGTAAACGCTATTATGAAGTGATTCCTTTTCCCAAACTGTGCTGCGTTGAAATCTTGAGCAACAGAGGCAAACACAATTAATTGTCCTCTTTTTCGGACAGTTGCGCAATAGTTATCGAGATTGGCATATCCCGCTCTTGTACAACCTGATTGCCAGGAATACATATACTTTTGTAGGTGATTTATACAGGAACATTGTAGAACCTTACTGGCAAAATTTTCGAACCATGGGCACAAGTTCATATACTTAGTTGATATTTCATTAGGTGCTTTTCTTAATTTTTACAATTCATACTTGAAGCGCGCTGTCTGTATGTCACTGAAGTTACTGTCAAATATTTTTACGTTATTTTCAGGCGCTATGATAGAACGATGTCCCTACTCGTAGTTTGTTTTTTTAACTTCTAAGGAAAAACTAGTTTCCCAAATAGAACTTACTGAGATGTCGTGTGTATTTGCAAAGGTTGTTGCAAGCTATGAATGCAAATATATTTAATCATGTGCATAAGACAGGCAATCCTAAAAATAGCGCTCGAAGATCGTAACTCTCAAATTATTGCGATCTCCTAATAACATGCCCTTTCCTTAAAGGTTTGCCTTCACGTCATACCCATCTTTAAAGCAAATTATGGCGAACATTTTTTAAGCTACCTTATCTAATCTGGATATACTAATTGGCAATCTATTAGGGTTCGGTGAATAGCAACTCACTTTTGAATCACATCTCATTATAGTTGAACAAATTTTTAATTGGATAAACCTCTGATTAAGCAGTAGTTAAATACACAGACATGAGAACGGTTCCAGCAGAAAAATTTGTTTTGGTCACGTACAATTTTTATTGAGCAAGTGAAGTTGAAGTGCTTTACTAATCTGTTGTATGCATCTAATGGTATCCACTGCTTTGCTAGTTATCCAAGAAGCAGTAAGTGGATACACAAATGCCGGAAAATACTAATACCACTTTTAAACTTGAACTCAGGGATATATTTATATAACTACCAATGTGGCTTACCGCTGGAAACCTAAGTTCAAGTATGACCAGTAAATAAATAACAAAATGTTATAGGAAAAGTATAACACAAACGTGATATGGCTTGCTAAGGACGACGTGAGCGATAGTAATGCCTTTTGGTATTTTCGATGCTGTGTATATTCAGAAGTGTCCTAGTTTTATGCAGGTTAAGCTGAATGTCTAATATACAGAAAGCAGGTGTCGTGTTTTGATCGGGTGTAGTAATGGCAATTGTATCAGCAAATGTGATTTCGTGATATATGCACTAACAATAGATCGTGAGTGCTAAATAAAGATGTGAAGTAAACGTGAGCGACAAAGTTTTAAATTGGTGGAATCGTCTAACTGACTTGTTATGTCTTTCTTTTCTCTCACATGCGTGCGTAGGATCAACCTGCCCAGCAGTCGTGGGTACGTAAGCGGGGACGATCGGCGACCACACTGTATGTGGCTGCTGTTCAACCGCTCGTGATTGCTATCGGCTGCATAGATATTTTTGCTGGACAGAATTGTAAATATTAAGATGGTTAATGTCTCCTAATCAGCGAGTCAATAGTATAGATGAACCTTTGAAAATAGTATGCCTGTTATTGAATTAGCCCGCCAGTGTTTCTCATAAGGATGTGTTTGGGTTCTACCCTCAATCACGTGATAACCTTTTTTGGTCTATCGGCACGGCTGTCACGTACTGTTTTTCCTCATAGTTGAAGTGTACCAGTGGAACCGGCATCTTCTCCTGGATATGTTTGAATCGATTCTCTTAACAACCTGTAGGTGGTTAATAATGCTTATAGGTAGCTGTGCTAATTATTGCGTTTGCTAGTGATTGTACAAATGAAATCTTTCTAATGAATACTGTTCCCTTAGTACCGGGTGGATCCACTGTATTTTTTAAAATTTTTTTAAGTTTTGGTGTGACTCTGAAATCATGCATTTTGTAAAAATGTATTCATCATTTAGCACTTAGTTGTTTTCGTAAACGAACGTGTAATGCAAGTTAGGCTTTTATTGTTCGTTGTATTGTGCATGTGCCTGCTGAACGTTACCTTCCTTATCCTATTTGTCCTTTGTTAGACGCTAGTAATTCATGTTTCGCTTCGAATTCAGTCTCGGAAAAAAGCTATTCACGCTTTATTTCCACTATGCATGTATACGGAACCTACTATGATAAACAATCACAAAAAAACGCGAAATTTTTTTTCTTTCAACGCCATAAGTCATTTCTTTCTACCAGACTTTAGTAGACTCCCAAATTTACCTAAATATGCTGCTTGTTTTGTTCCTATTCATAGTCAACATAGGCGTTTTTCACTCCATTTTATTATTCAGACATTTCGATTGTATTTCATTATTTGTTAAAGCAATCACCTGATTGGTGCCTTTCTTACCATCAATGACGGCAAAATGTAGTGAGGGGATGGTTACCGATTGTAAGGGACGTGCTAGGTAGTATTTAAAGACGTTGACTTAGATGGGAGCTTACTTCAACGGATGAAGACCACTATTTACTCATCCATTCAGGAGTGTAAGTAGGCTACGTAAGCGACCTTGAATATCAGCGAACTAATGACAGCGAAGGCAAACTTCTAAGACGTCACATGGAGATGGGCGGAAGAGACAGATTTGAGTTCAAGATATGACATAACTTTACTGCACTGGTTAGCTTGCCATGAAAAGTATTTTATTTAGATGTGTTCCGCTTACGCGTCTTGGATTCACCTACCTGCTGCTGTTGAGTTCATCGTATAGGTCGAATTTTTACATTGGTGATGTCGGCAATAAATACTTCAACCTATCCGATTGGAAGTAGAACCGTTAGCGACGTCGAATCACTACGGTACCCTTTTGTTGATACCGGCAGAACATAATTTTTTGGTCGTCGCTTTGAACGGAAAGGTCCAGGGAAAACTTCCGCATCTCTACAAGCAAAAAGCAAGCAAGTTAAACGCCATTCGGAACCATAATCAGTAGAACACAGCTCTCCAAATACATATTTACACAGCGACGAGTGTGTTTAGTCTGACTGAATCGTCACAGGAGCTATTTAAATTTTTATAGTGGAGCTTCCTGTTTTAGTGGGTAGCAAACTTGATAACATATGCCCAAATATACGTTTTGTGATATCGATGTGCATTCATTTTTTGTGATGTGAATTAGCTCATATAGGAGTAATGGATGTATAGCACATGATACTCTAGAAACAAGCCTAAAAATTTTATTTTAAAATTGTGTTTATTCACTGGATCCCATATTTCACTCCGCTAGCTGTCACACTCCATGCATTTAAATTGTTTTCTAACATTAGCTAACCAAAATTTAACGAGAAATATTCTATGCACGTTATTGGTATTCAATCAGCATCGTACGGGTGAAAATATCGGAGGCATTTATATAATGGGAACCTTTATTCTGCTACGTTCGCGCTGCTCAGTTCAGGATCTATGGTTCAATGCACATCCATTAAATTTATGCAGTTACCCAATTTATGATGTGATCAAAGGGTGGATGAAATCGTTGATGCTATGCTCAATATGTTGTTCAAAAATCAAAAATCTAGTTTTTAGATTAATTAGCCCTTAACAATTAAAAAATTGCGGGAACAAACTGCCAGATTTCAGAAAGCTGTTAACAGATATTGCTATCATACAGGGTGAATAAAAACATGAATATAAAAAACTAGCAAAGAACGCTGCATATAATTATTCTTTGACTGGAAATTACATGAGCTACTTTTCTTCAAACGTTTTAGGAACTGCAGTTAATGTCTGTCGTGAGTTAATCTTTGCCCAGTGAATTTGATTAATGCTGCAGTTAACCCAGTGAGTTTGCCGGCCGACAGGACAAGCATTTTATAATACTTGCTCTGTGTTGACATGTATTTAATCACAAACGCTTATGCAACCTTTGCGATCTATTTATTCAGAAACGTTCAAACAGTTGCTGCCGTATTCAGTCATAATCCTTCTTAATCCATGTACAATCCACATACAGTCATTAATTCATACGGTCACTGATGTGTATTTATTCACAAAAACATGCATACTTTCTATTGCCTAGTAGAGTCGAACGTCGCACAGGTTAGATCTCATGAGCTTTTTGTTTGCGTGTTTAGTGGAACTACGCTATTTTCATAACCGATGCAAAAATTACAACCTTCGGTCGTCGGAATGGATAGCGCGAGCACGTGGCAACAAGCCCACACAACCAAGCCCTCCTGGTATCCTGACATAAATATCTTGGTAGTATTCGCAATAAGGAGGACTGCTCTTACTGCTTAGAGAGATTGACCTTCTTTCGGCGGCGTATTCCCACATCCGCTGGTGGAGTTGAAAGAAACTCGCGGCCTTCTTCCGCAAATAGGCATATGTCACAACCGCGTACGTACGCATGTGTGCTTTAAGCCAAGCTCCAGGTTTTGTGTCCGGAAAATAATACACACACGGGCAGAGCAAACGGTTTCCCGCACCTAGGTGAGATGATACTGGTACCTGACTGCAGTGACACATATGGATCCATATTTTCTTCCTTTGGGCCGCCAAGATAGAGAGTGCCCCGCCTGAAAAAGCCGTCCACTTTCAAACCTGACAGTAAGGCAGTACAATAATCCTTATTGTTCACTGATAAAGTTTCTTATGCGCCTCGAGGTCGGCGTCGCTGTAGAGATCCGTGGTGATAGACGTAGACTGTCGTATACTGGACATTCACCAGCGCGAGTTCCTCCCTCGAGCATCACCTGAACTAACTCTGCATTGCTTTCGTTACGGTAAAAAATTATCATACTGATCTTACTGTTCGTTAAATCTTTCTTCGATAAAAGTTGGGTTCAGAGCTCCGCATTCAAACCATCTAGCAGAGACCCTTTGGCATTCACAATTCATTAGGTGTCTCGTCTTCCGTGTAGCGACGAAAGGACTGTTCCGGCAAGCCAGAGAACACTAGTTACTTCGAAACTCCCAGGTTTCTCCCGTGCTATTCTTAACAACTAGTATAGGCCGGGACACTCCTTGTAAATGCCTACGCACCTGCCTTACGAGTTAGTCCAGTGGCCATTTTCATTCTTTCGCAAGCCGCTTCTCGTCAACCCATTGCTTAAGCCGAACTTGTTCAAGGAACACCTTCGTGGCTTCGGTCTGATTGCCAACTATCTTAAGCTACAACTAAGACTTGTTTATCTTTGTCGTTGGCTGGCAGAAACGAGTGTTACACACACACCCGTTTTGCGCTTGCATATATAGTCGTAGACGTGTATTTATTCATAAATACATATTATATGTTATCAGTTACACCAGCTAAAGTACTCCTACAGAAATATATCGTTAAACCATAATTTTTAAAGGAAAACATAATGATTGTTTTGTATAATTTAAATCAAGTGAGAATAACTACGTCCCGTTATATAGTGTACATGGGAAGACAAATTTGCAAAATGACTATATCTAGCTGTTTTTGTAGTATGCACGTAAAATATATAAGTGCAGGACTTTTGCTAGTGTAAGAAATACGTTTTATTATTTTGCATTAATCGTAATTACTATGTCATAACAGCCAGCGGCTGTACTCCCCACAGAGAAAATGCTTTGTAATAATTTTCCTTGGGTGAATGAACAAACGACCAAAATAGTCTATTTTCATTGTGTTATAAAACTTCAATGCATTTTGCTATTTGAAGGGTTTCTATTGTGGAACTCGGTTTTCCAACTATGTGCGGCGACTTGACTGCGATTCTGCGGAAAAAATAAAGCAATAATGTTAAGTAGTTTTTTTTTGGACACCGCATGTTCCGGTGAGGACATAGTGCTCACCGGAACATGCGATGTTGCTCACTACTAAAGCCTCCTCACCTGCTAAAGTTGGGAGACACGCGGTAGTCTAGGTTCGAATTCGAGCGTGAACACGTTTCGTGCTGAAAGCCACCCGTCTGATGGAATGCTAAACGGTGATACCGGACGTAAAATTCGAAACATTTCAGTTTAGAGACCGCAAGTTTGGATGCAATCTTCGAGTACTTTCGAATTAAAAAAGCTTAGGCAGTAGCATGCATAAATCTTCATCTAAGCGATTACAAGATTTCTGGCTAATAAGCCAAAGGTCAGCAAAAATAAAAATACAATAAATAACCACTTTGTTTTGTCAACTTTAAAAGACTGCTCCAAATATATGTATATCATCATTTACGGAGAATGCAGAGAGTAGTTAATTATTGGGTATATTCAGAAAGGAACAAAAATCATATCTTCTTTACGTTGCAAAATGTCGTAGCGCTTTATGCTATGTATTTTATTTATTTGTTTCAGTTTTAACATTCCTATTCTATTCTAAAAGCGCTTTTATATTGTCTATTTACGAGGTAATTAACAAAGGTGAATGTAAATGTATGTTATAAATCGCAAAATACAAAGAAACTAGAACGGAATCCACATGATGAAAATATTATTGCTCAATGATAACGCGTCAAATTCAGTACAAAAAACTACATTAAGCTGGAAAACCACAGTGCGGAACTTACAGTTCTCGCAGTTTTAGACATACTGATTTATAAGGTGCACTGTCCTATGTTTGTTTTCTAGTAGTTCTGAGGAGCAAATTTACCTCATAGCGTTTAATAAATATAACATTCAAAGACTTTTGCAATAGGTTCAAAGGCCTGTGGCTTGAATAGTAAACTTACTAAACGGTTAAAACTTCAGAAACACTAGATGATCGCTATAATTGTTCGCAAAGATTTCTACGTACCACTTAGCATATGTAAAATACCTAAAAGTAAAAGTTACTAAATTTTGGAGGCTGTACACAATCCGAGCATCATCTATTTAACATTCCATGAAACATATGGCCAAATCTTAATTTCCTACTTCAACCAGCGCTATATGACGTTATCGGAAGCATGCAAATCATCTGCTGTATGTACGATGAAGGTACAAGATGTATAACACATATACACAATTTTAATTGCACGCTATTTGAAGCATGAATAGTATAAGATAATAAATAATAAAGAATGATGCCTGATAGCGACTAGTAGTAGATTCTCCCTTTGTCCGTCAGTTTATGCAACCTTGAGAGTCTCAATCTGCAAAGCTATAATATGATGCATTTTGTTACAAACCACTTCTGATATTTCCGTATTGTTATACAGGTGGAAAAACCATCGACCGGCGGTCTGTCTCATAAGACCCGCGATCATTGGGAAATAGACAGAAGCTCGCTCAAATTCATCCGAAAGTTAGGACAAGGACAATTTGGTGAAGTCTGGGAGGGGCAATGGAACAATACAACACCTGTCGCAATCAAGACACTGAAGCCCGGCACCATGGACCCAAAAGATTTCCTCGAGGAAGCTCACACCATGAAAAAATTGCGTCATCCTAAGCTGGTGCAGTTGTACGCTGTGTGTACACTTGCAGAGCCTATATATATAATTACGGAACTTATGAAAAACGGCTCACTCCTCGAGTATCTACAGGGTAAGCAGAGCGCAATATAAGTACCTGATGTAATGATGTCGCTATAAAGGCTTTGTAAAAACCTGTTGTATGTTTTTTTGTATTGGAGTTCTGTTAAAATATTCACCCGTGTATTCTTATTGCATTATCGTTGTTAATGATAAGCGCTTTTTTTGGCTGCAACTCCAGGCTTGAGAGTCTATATATTTTAAGTCTAGAAACTTACATATACCATGCCGTGTGCTGCCTCTCCATCTGTGAAGCAACCATTAATTTAGAAAAATGATAACCATAACACCTGCACTGCAATAGCATAGTGGCACTGTGGTGGCAGGAACCTTTCATTATTGCTCTATTAACAAGTAGTAGCGGCGTAGATTTGGGGCATCTGCCGCATTCACTTAGGCATGGCATACCAAAAGCTATGTGGATTCTAATGAACATTAAAGAAGTTACCTTCATTATATTTCACAGATTTCACGGAGGTAGACATCAATGCACAGCTCACGGCATGATTATCCATAATATATTTTTTCGCATCGGCTTCGTACTTGTTTTAGGTAAGGGACGATCACACAAATTGCCTCAGCTGATCGATATGGCTGCCCAAATCGCCGCTGGAATGGCTTTTCTGGAGCAGCAGAATTACATCCATCGCGACCTAGCCGCCAGAAATATCCTGGTTGGCGATAACAATCAGGTCAAGATAGCTGATTTCGGCTTAGCTAGGCTCATTAAGGTGAGTAGCGCATGAGTATTAAGTATTTGATTCTATGCTTAGCACATGATGCCTTATTAACTGTTATTGGTTATTTAATTAAAATTGAACAGACCAGTACACTAATTTTCTCAAATCATATATCGCAAAAAAGCTTTCTACCACCCCAAAATTACAACAGGCCAGAAAGTGCATTTAATAATTATTAAAGAAAGCCGTAACAGGGAAAGATGTTTATAGCTTTGTTTTTTCTTCTTGTTTATTGAAATAATCATCATACGCTTTAACAACCTTTCTCTTCTACTGTTTCTATTCTCATTCTCTAAAATGACGCGAAAGTTTCTAATATTGATTCAAGTTGTCTCTCAAATCATTTGCCAGTCAAAGATAATTTTGTGCTTAATTTCGTCCAATCGTGTGTTGCTTGCTCTCAGCAGCACAACACACTGAGAAAATCATCCTTCCAGGGCAGCTGTGTCAGGACAACTTATTTTAAATTATTTTTGTAGTAGGTTATGGGCATTTATAATGAACGAAAATACAAGCTCTAGAAAACGTAGACTAATTTATCACTAGTAAGTTTGCGAACTGAAGGTTTCTGTCAGTTTCCCTATACTTACTATCCTAAAGTAGCAAATATTTATGAGCTTCGTTGGTGAACAAGATTGAAGCATAATTGAAGCAATGACCCGAATTCTCTAGGACATGTATAATCATTTAGTGCTTAGTATCTTTATAACAACCTTTTTCTTATTATTTTTGGTGATCAGAGTTTTAAGCCAAAAGCACTGACTGTGTTATATGAATTCCAAATGAATATATCTTTTTAACTTTCGTAACCTGTTATAGGTAAATCTAAGTTGAAGTTGTTAAATCTATTTTCCACGGCTCGTGTATCACGACGGGACTATAAAGAGCTTCTTGAAATAGTGCATAATTTACAACATAATCTTGTTGCCGATAATTTTTTCCATTTTATTAGTTCCCTTCGTATTAGTTTGTTTAATTTAGCTAATGTACGAGATGTTCGGTGAAAAAAAAACTACCAAAAATAATAAATATATGGTGCTATGACAAATAAAAGTGACCCAGAAAGCGCTAATAATTTTCTTTGTTTTAAAGACATATATATTTGATGTTTGTTGTTCATAAAGAGCTTTTCCAACGGGTCGTAATACCTGTATTGCTATTTATGATAGCTTACAATATTCATTACAGGAGATTGTCTAAACTCACTTTAATGATATGCTTTGAACTTGTACGAACGAGGATATTTCGAGACCTTTTATTTTTGACGAGGTCCCTTAGTGGTTTGTCTGTAAATCAAAGTATGCGAACGTTCCATCGGAACAGGCATGCTTGAGAGTGTGTGTTTGGAATCCAAATAGATGCTATTACTACAATCGTCGTGGTATTTAGTTGTCGCTAACGCCGGTGTCTCTTCTCCGTCCGCTTCTGCGATGTGTCTGTCCGTGGTGGGATGTGATCTGATCTGACCATCCGATCTCTGTTGTCGGTGCGGTCGGGATTCTCGTACATTGTCGAATCCCTCAATCTCTCTGTCTCTCCCTAAGAATGTAAGTGAGCATCACACCGGTGTTCGGTGCACTTGATCTCTAATCATCCGATCCGGGAGGTGTCCGCTCCTCCTGGTTTCGGGTTTCTGGCTAAGTGGCGCCGCATGTTTCCTTGTTACACCTGCTAACGCTAACTGTTGTTTGCCAGACGCCTATTCCTTTTCGCATTTAGCTTCGTCTACGATGACATCACTGAAATTCTAATACGCACCTTCGAACGTTTGAGAAGTAGCCAGGATGGTTTTTAATGCTAAAAAGAGACGAAAATTGCTACAAATTAGAGACTGGTACAGAAAAGCAACCATATATTGATGCGTATATTTATGCTTGTTTCCTGTATGTTTTACATAGCGCTAAACGATGTATGCGATATTACAACGAATTTTTACAAGTTGTAATTCGTTCAATGAGTTTTGGAAGGCAATTTTATCGGAGACTGTTACAAACTTAGTGCCACTGCTGTAAGTTCGAAGCAAGTTTATCATGTCTTTTCGAATTTACTTGTATGTAGCCTTATGCAATGATTATATGTGTCACTGCCTAGACGGATATGATATGCGAGGGCGTTAAAGAGTAATAGGTGCTAGGTTTACAGTTATTTCAATTAGTTTGCTAATTATGTATGCTTCAGAAGCTCGTGCCTACTGACCTACTTACACAAGCAAGCTCCCCCGTGTACTGTTAAACCAACTTTCTTCCCAGAATATCGTCTGTGCTCTTTACCGAAAGAACATACAGTCTATTGTCTAACATTGCGTTCTTGTAGATATCACTTGAATGCCTTAAATGATGTTTTCGCTCTATCAAGGTTTGGCCTTTGTAACTGCATTAAGAGCAATATTACTTGCATTTGATTCTGACACCGCTCTTTCATGACCTCTGAAGATTAAGAAAAGGATCGTAAAGTGAAAGATAGATGAAGATCCACGACTTGTCGTTAATCGACATAAGTTACAAAAATAAGCTGATTTCGAGTAGAACAGAAAAGCAACATCAGAAACAGTCTTTAAACTTCTTGTTGTACTATATTTCTAACCATCGTATAAACTATCCTGCCTTAAGGAGAGTGAATAATGAACCGGGTAATCCTGATGTAATATACTTTATACGGCCATAATAATAATAAATATTATGTTAAAGCAGCATTGTTATTTGTCGATACAGGATAGGAAAAGTAAACTGTTATGTATTTGGAAATGCTCGTTCTTTGTAACTATCCTCTTTTATCAAGGATGACATTTGATCGCTCTTCTGGGATTAGAACCAACTGGCAGAATTCCAGATTCAAAGTAGTCAGTGCACAGATCGAACTTAATGCGGCGCTGCCTCCAATACCAGTTTAGCTGGGTTTAGTTGAAACGATATCGAATTAAATTTCACTTATACACTAAGTTGCATTCGTGGCTAAAAAAAAGGTGCTCTTACTTTGCGGTTGTACGATGCACTGTTTGGGCATAAAGAAGATCCTTGTAGCCATTTCGCCAGTAGGTCCTGAATAGAGCAACATAGCTAATTTGACCTATCCTCTCTTTCCAGGTGATACTAATAATATTGTTTATTCACACAAATTGTGTAGTGTGTGTCACAAAAGCCCAATTCAGAACTCCATTGCATTTACTTGCATTTCAAACTTCTCTTATATAGCGCAACGTTGTTTTAGACATTTGAAACTTGGCCTTTGCTTTCTTTAGCAGCACTTGCGCACATCATGTGATCATGAGATGTGTAATCTTAACGTCTAATGTTCTTTAATATAATAGCCATGCTGATTTCCCATTATCCGTCGCGTCGGGAATTTGCCAGTCAGAAACTTTAATAAAGCATCCATATTAGATGGATCGAAATTGGAAACGATATCAAAATTTAAACGACATTAATTCAGATTAAATTTCGAGTCTTTAAAATTTTAAAACGCTGCCATCCTAGTTATTGAATGTGTGTGTTTTTGCACGCTGCGTAGTTGCTACATTACTATCAAGAACTCGGCCCCAGGTAGAAAAAACCCGATTTGTGGCGATTTTAGTTTTCCGTTGTCTTCATAATCGTGTTCATTTGCTCGATTTGCATATGTGCGTTTTATGTTGTTGTCTTTCCGAAATAATCTTGCATTCATAGAAAACAAAATAGATTTAACTATTTCAGCTACTTTTTTTTTACTAGCTTTAACTACTACAAACGTTATTACTTAGTGAGTCATATATACTAGTCAAATGTTATTCGATGCATTAGTTTCCATAGTTCGGATAAACTAACTGCGTAAATGGTGTGCACAATCCCCTGTTGGTAAATATACATCTTTTGCTCACACCTATAGTGTATTTTTGTTCCCTAGGAGGATGAGTACGAGGCTCGAGTGGGAGCGCGGTTCCCAATTAAATGGACCGCTCCAGAAGCCGCCAATTACTCGCGTTTCTCGATTAAGTCAGACGTCTGGTCGTTCGGCATTCTGCTCACCGAACTGGTCACGTACGGAAGGATACCTTATCCTGGTAAGGAGAAACCGATTAGCACTACATTTCACCCTTCCCGATGGTTTATTTTTTAAATATTTATGGGTTAAATATACACTGCACAAAAATTTAATTAGCCACACTTTATTCAGTCAGTAATAATTTTTTTGTATAGTTCTGAACAAATTTTAAGGAAAAAGACATTAGTAATCTTTCTATATACACTTTCGTTATATCGCATTAACGAAAGCATACTCTTTTTTGTTATACATCAATTCAATAATAGACACTTTCAATTAAACTACGGAGGTGATTGAACCCTTTATATAATATCAGAAATATTTTTAAATAATATTTCTGTTATGGGTATCTTTTTCTGTTTGTTTTTGTGTATCAGGTATGACGAACGCAGAGGTATTACACCAAGTGGAACATGGCTACCGCATGCCATCGCCGCCACAGTGTCCCGTGGCACTATACGAAATCATGCTCGAGTGCTGGCACAAGGACCCCATCAAGCGGCCAACTTTCGAAACACTACAGTGGAAGCTGGAAGACTTCTTTACATTGGAAGGCTCCGAATACAAGGAAGCTTCCATCGCCTACTGAGCCTCTCCATAGTCCTCTCACGCTCAATCACCATAAAGTTATAATTTTTATTACTGTTCGTACCAAACATGACTATCTTTCAAACTGCATTATTACATTCGTTACGTGAAATCGGATCGCACGTAATGCATTTGTTGCGAAAAAAGAACGTTGCGTTTATAGGTAGCAAGCATACTTTCAATCCAATTGCTTTTCCAGAAACGGATGGCACCGCTTTACTCTCTGGAGAAGCGAATAGTGCACATAGTAAGAGATAACTATACGTTTATCAGCCTAGAAAAAAATTCGTCAAGTACCTTTGTAGTTCACGTCTAACTGAACCCTTTTCTTACTTTTAAATGTAATAATTCTGGAGGTAACACACGTTTTATGTGTGACCAGATTCCACGTAACTAAGTAGTATCCTGGATAAACTGCAGAATTGCAGCAATAGTAGCATGGACGACGATAATATCCCAGGCAGTAGTATAAAAAGGGTCAACAAAATCGCGCAGCGTTGCTGAATCCGCCAGACTCCTATTACAATGACGTAAGTATTGCCGCAAAAGCTCCAAGGATTTCTCAAGTTTATTTTATGAACGATAAGGCCACTACAGCGATCGCTAGGGCTGATATTATTAGTATAAATAATTCCACAGTGACGATTACATATTAGTTCGGTGAAATTCTTTCAACTTCAAAAAGCATTTGCTTATTTCCACACAGTAGATCTTGTATTCTCCTGCACCAGTAGTCATCTTTGGGTACTCTCTGAAATAAGACGATATAGAATTACTCGCCTTTGGCCACCAAACGAGAATGTTTCGTCTGAGATTTTTTACTTAACTCCTTTTTACAAAACGTACATCCTATCACTCACTAACACATTGCGAACCAAAACGCAACTCCACTATTCGTCCCGTTGATTTTGCACTATGCCTCTTCGATCTTGCAGCACCGTGCTAATTTAAAAAGAAAATCTACATTATAGCCTAATGTTACAATTATCCTCGCTTGAATGTTATATATATATATATATATATATATAACCCAAGTCGGAGGGGCTGATGGTTTTTATTCATCAGATTCAAGAGTATCTTTCTGATGTAAACACTTTAAAACTATTTGTGGCACTCTAGTTGCTTAATCCTAGCAATACTCGCCCGAGTATAAGTACCCGAGTATAAGACATTGGACTGACATACGACAATTAAACAAGGCACGTGAATTTTAGGAAACGCTCGGTACGCTTGAAGGGAATCCAATATATAACGGCCATCGAGACACCGATATATTTTTTGGAAATGTGTAAGCTAGTACCTAGTGCTTTCAAAATGGCTCTGCGCGGTGAAACTAGCGTGCTTACAGACTCGGTAGATTGATACTGGAAATACCACATATTATACCAAAATAACTGAGTGAGGGAGTGAAGGGGGTTTTGTAATATCATTCGAGGTTATCTAAAAGTAAGATCTACTCGCATTATGATTACGATTATTCGGCTCGATATCGGCGTATGAATGTAACTGAAAATTTTGTGCCGCTGTACATTATGACGGTGGCTCGCATTGTTATGCTTTTGAGGGACAAATGGAAAAAATTATCTGGCTAGTCTCCAAAATAAAGCATCTTAGATCGTACGTCGTCGCAGTGAAGAATGTGACGTGGAGCTAAGATGTAACGCGTCAAATGGTGGAGAGTGCATAAATTCAGTGTGGATGAGAATAACAATAATATCTATACATAAATACAATAACAACAATAGGTCGTAGGTGCGCTGATGAGGATGGTGAGCGTGTGTGAGGGATGATAAGGAGAACAGAGCGGTGACAGGAGCTAAGAGTATGGAAATACGAGACATGAGGAAAAATAACATCTGACAAGAGCGACGTGGAGAGAACAGACCCACGCTATAGAACAGCGTGTAAGCATTTCGTCTCAAAGCTAGGACAAAAAAGGATGTGAGGTTATATGTATAAACGTTGTGCGGATGCGAATAAGTAATTGAACGTGCGTATGTCTCAATGTTTGTCTTGTGACGAGTGACAAGGGGGATGCGTGCATCCTTCGCTTGCCTTAGAAGAATACCTTCAAATCGCTGTTGTTTCATTATGATTTCGGAAGACGATAACATACGAATAAAACAAAAACGATTTGCTGACTGATTATTATCCATTACACAAGTCCGCATACATAAAAAAGTAGGAGGTGGATTGTACAGGAAATGCACATTTTGCAGTGCGGTTTTATTTGAAATATTCTATACATTATATGTATGTGTGTATATATATATATATATATATATATATATATATATATAATCTCAAGTATCCGTACTTCATTTAATTGCACTAATGTTCACTACATTGTTTATTTTTTTTACTCACGACCACTACTACTTGGACACACAAGAGATGCCGCCACCCTTCGCTCTCGTGTTCACTGATCTCCGTAACGAATCTAGTTGTGTCTCGGTAAAGTATGTAGTTACTGACGCTGCGAGATCACGTCATCGATGATATTATAGGTGGCCTTTAATCAAAGAGATCAACTTTAGAAACACGCATCAGGGCTTTGAATAGATCAAGTCATTCCGTTTAACCACTTAAGATTATAGTTGAATGCGGGCGCTGTCGTCATTCTAACTCCACCTCGATCAAACATTCCTAATACATAACGATAAAATGAAAGTAATGTAAACGACGAATACAAAAGAAAATGCGTTATTTGTTTTTTGGCATAGCTGTTAGCACGCAAAAGTACCCCTGCAATTTGTATTGGAATCTGTAGCAAGTCGAAGTGGAAATCGGGCACCGACGTCGACTGCTCCGGAGATTGGCTGATTTGCCTAATGTAGCTGCTTGCTAGAAAAAGAGCGGAATGTGATGGTCAGAGGAGCTGCCTGCATAAATTTCATGGAATAACATTTTTAACAATTGCATATGATGGAGAAGAGGTAAAATTAGCATTCGAATATTTAACTGGAAATAATTTCGTAACATTATTTTCCGCGCCTGACCTTGAGTAATCTTGGCAGGCAAACAGGTTCATATATGAGAAGAAAATAAGCATCTTTTAGCCTACTCGTCGGTCTATATAGTGGAGACGAAACGGAAGATGGTTAATCTGTATTATTATTATTGCCTTTTCCCTTTGACACGTATGCGGTGTACGTGTATTCGCTTGGCGTTGCTTCTGCTCCGAGCAATAACCAATAATCAATGACACGGTATGACAGAGTGAAAACTTTTCGAACAGACAAGATTGGTGGGATGCAGTTGGGTCAGGTCATTGTTTCCTACTAGCATCTCGTATTTTATTCTACGAAATAAATGCCCCAATATGCGAATAAAACGGATCGCGTTGCCTGCATGGATGATGAATGAGTACAGACACGAAAAATGCCTTGATTCGATAAGTACGGCTAGAAAGGTCGCGCAGTGAGCGAAAGGACTGCTGAAAGGATGACCAACGGGTGACTAATAGGCGGGTGGTGACAAATAATTCCGAGTGAATGATAATCGTGTCTTCTTAATCCGATTCACTTGAAAGCGTATCGGTTCCATCTTACGGTTATCAAAAATAGGTTTTATAAAGAAATGTAATGATAGATTTCTGCGTCAAACCCTCGATGACCCGTTAAGTGGTCATACCTCTCCCTCAAACATGCTTTTAAAGAGGGTTTAATGAGAGCAGAGTAGGTATAGAAATGCGAAATTACCAACGATATATGAGAGTTGTAGTATTTAAGCGTGATGACTGAATGTATATGAAAGAATGAATGATTTATGGATGAACGGATAAAATAGCTAGATAAGCTGAATATCGCAAAAAGCGCACTTCTATCCACAAATCAACGTCGTTCCAGAAACGATGTCGACGCCTTATGTTAACCACTTCACTTCGCTAAAAATCTACTAGTGGAATGGATGTATTTTCTGACGCCTGCGCGACAAGGGATTTTATGAACTCAAAAATATGAATTGTTACCGACAGCTTCTATCTAGGCTTTCTGAGTATCGTTTTCTGCAAATCAACCTAAGAAGTAGTCGGTCAAGCACAGGCTAGTTTTTAAATTTTGTAAATGTATAACTCATAAATGTCGTGATCTGCCCAGTAATTGGTAGACGAAATAACTGCTCATAAGGTATCTGACCAATTATAAAATTTTGTATCTATTTAATTTCGCCTTCCAGGCGATTTATAAGAGAGAAAACCGATATCCCGTAAAGCAACATCAACAACATATACAGCAGTGCACAACAAACACATAACCAACTTTTTGCATTGCATGGTAGTTAAAAATGGATGAAAATGTCCGGTAAAGACTAAAAACAATGGGAATGTAGGGTAAGATTAGGCGGGAATGGAATAAAAACATGAAAATCAATCATGTTAGCCTGCATATTGATATTATTGGCCCTGATTGTATTCCTGCAATGTAACTATGACGCCCGCCACAACAAATCACGGTCGTATTATATCGAAATCTACAACAACTACATTTTAAGCCATATACCACATGCTAATGCAAGAATAAACTCAGATTTTAAACCTGGGTACAAGAGCTATGGGTAGATTACACATACAGAAGGTAGGTATGTTAACAGATACCATCGTAATCAGATGCACCGTATTACAATAAGGCAGTCATTTTACGAATAGCCATTTAACCGGCTTATGCTACTGCCCAGACGAGCCGATATAAGAACCTGTATATAGGGATATACAACAACAAAATATTATTTCTTGCTTTATGGAGATAAAATTATGTATCACCCGTTAAGGGTAGAACTATTATTAACATTATTATACGACGAAGTGCAAACCGAAAAACAAGGAACGTCGTGTGTGAAGGAAGTGTAACTCGGTAGTCAAAGGGGGTGCATATAAACATATACATACCCAACAATTACGGATGAATCACTACAACACGCAGGGAAACTAGGATAAAGCTATAACACTGCAGAACGTTAATGAAAAGAAGTCGGTCGATATTACTAATGACGATGTTCCCATTGCGTCGGTATATAAAATGTAAACGAACAAGTTTTACTATCTGATAGCGCTTTTAATTCCATTGCGTATACCACACACACACATTCACATACACATGCACGTACACAAACACTTATAAAGAGAATGTGCTCATAATAACCAACAACTCATAAACTTGATTATTAAACACAGCAGAATGGACACAACAAATTGTGTGAACACGAAAAAACTGGAACACAAATTAATAATGAATTTCTTCTACTGAGCATATCCTTTTGTATATAATTTATCCACTATAATGCGATTAATAAACCGAAGTTTCCTGAGCGGTAAGTCCTGATATGCTTACTTTACCTAACGTTATGAAATTTAAAGGAAATCACTGGTTTCGATCAGATTTATTTAGCCTCCGAAAAGAAGTTCTCTGAGGTCAGAGAACTTTTTTGCGAAGTTGGTATACTAATTCGTAGAAAATGCGTTCCAATTTCACCATAATAATGTCTGACGCGTTTTAAATAGAACTTACTTGGCGTTCATCTGACAAACTCCGTAACAAAATTCCGATTCCCAAGAGAGGTGTGTAAAACCGGTATCTTTTCACCGCTATGAACATTTACAGCGTCTTTCATTTCAAAGATTTTGCAATAGCATTCCTCCTTAAATTACTCGTTGTTTGTAGTTACAGGTAATAAGTTTTTCACTAATATAGTAATAAATAAATTCAATACCACTACCGACCGTGCTCCACGTGCTTTCATAGTTAGATAAAAAGTTTCAAATGTGTAGACCACACTTGAGTGCTCTTTCCAGTTCTAAGGTAAATATCGGGTTTACCTTACCTTTCCTTTAGACAAAATCAGAAAACTCTATCGTCTTAGTACTATAACAGGCAAGCTTTTTGACGCGTTATCGGCACTGCATTCGGCGCGATTACAGTAAGGTATTATTTTTAGCGTAGAAGTTTTTAAAAAATAACTCTCTTACACCTTATACGGAATTTCCGTTAGAATAGATAATATATAACGACCTTGTAAAATGAACAGTTAAATTTATACCCACTTTAGTAGAGTCTGCTAAGGAGCGGAATGCTTAAGACCGTGGTGAGGGTCTCTGACACTGAAGAGGACGACAGAAAATTTGATACTGTTTACGCGAGCTTGTTAAATATTTGAGATCGAGTATATTATGTAATTATGAGATGAGTGAACCGACGTCGGATACGACCATGTGCTCTTTCTTCTGTGATTGTCATTAATTTTTGTAACAGAAGTCACTCCAAAATCCATCGGTGATACGAATTTTGTAATACTACGCTCGAAAAATCCCTTTTAATCTCGCTTCAGATCCGACGTACCTTGGCTGAATTTTCAATTGTTATTGAGATTATATAGAGGTTTGGCCTTAACCTCGACATCCCGAGATTTTAGCAGTTTATTAAAAATGCTATTAAGGCCTATCGTATTGTTTGCATCTACTGTAGTTGAGGGGCGCTCAAATTTATTAGACTTAAAGAAAATAAGAATTTGATAAATCTGAGGTTTATCACTCCCTCTGAACAATAACTCTTAAACTGGCCTTCCTGTGTGTAATTACCGAATTAAGCTAGTTATTTAGAGCAATTTCGACTTCTCCTAGTTTTTAGGAGTAAGTACGTGTGATTTGTTTTTTAATTGAGTTATATCTTTGTTTCTTTAACCTACTTCCAAACATTTGTCAGCGATATTGTCGAAGTCAATTTTCTATATTTTTGCTTACTAGTTCTCTATACCTCTCTAGGTTCTCCCTCCCCCAGGAAAGCCACTTCCAGCAGCACAAAGAATTGGCAGTAATCTTACAGTATATGTACTAGCTCATTGCTTAACCTACGGCTAGAATCGAGGTATAGTCAGATTATTCTACTCATTCGACTATTCTACTATGTACCTCTTTATGAATGTAGGCAGACCATCATTAACAACTGTTATATTCAGATCCGCTCCTCTGCTCATTTGCGGAAGCCTTTGCGACCATCCGTTAAGAAGCTTTCCCAAAGAAGATTTTTGGTGTTCGGGTGTCTCCGATGTGTAACGAGTTTTCAGATATCAATAGTCCTGTTCAGTAAAACGTTAATTACCGTAAGAACCTGTGTGTCCTTAGCTTGACTCTGATTGTCATTACACTTTCTACTTAGAAAAAAATTGGATTGATCTTGTTGGATGTCGTTCGGCATTAGAACAGTAGCTAACGATAATGCCAGACTGCGGTCCAAGTAGCATACGCATCCATCTATATAAAAAGGGTCTTTAGAATCCACCTTGTTGAAACACAAAACCTGTGTATTTTTCTTGCACTTGTGGTATTAATTGGAGAGCTTTTTGTGCTTCCCGTTAGAATTATAGCGTTCCAAGATGCTACCATTTTATTTTCAGTTTAATGGGAACTCGATAAGACTTTTCACATTGTTTCCCCAAGCTTTTTTATGAGCGCATGTACCAGGCATTCCTCAAGGCATAGCATTATTGAAAACCTGATTTTGGGTAAAAGTTGTTACACCCGTCATCAGTTGCTGCTAGTATTGGTTGCCTTGAAATGAACCTTTATTTTAGCTTCGTTTCCGTTTCTGATGTCTGCTTAACCGGTACTCTTTGAAGTGACTATCAGTAACATTCTATTTCTAAGACAAATTTTGGCGTGATTTTACAAGACTTGCCTTAGTTAGCCTGCTGACCATCAAGCGAATTCGATAAGGCTCTACAGTTTGTATGAAAAACTCTAAGAACTTACTGCAGAACTATACGTTTTGCTTAATATCTGTACATGTTTTTTCTGTTGGACTTTGGCCTACGCCTGACATATTAAACAATTTGTTCGTGCATAGCTCATGCAGCAAGTGACACAATTGAGCTTTAAACATGTGCATTTTGCTCTGCAAAGATTAATGTAGACACCTTGCAATTATGTAGTCGTATCAAACACAACTCGAAGTTTTGGCCTTAGCACCAAAGCTCTCCACAGATGTGGATGTCTCGTTTGATTTCAGTTTCAGCCATGTCAATTTTTCTCGTATTGCGTTTTTTCTACAGTTCGGGACTATTAGTCCGTATACTGTACCTGACGCACTCCAAGATTTCCAGCGATCTCCGCTTCAGCGAACAGTGGGTGTACGCCATATATCCTACCCCATGTCAATTCTAGCACTTGCTTCGTACCTAATATATATATATATATATATATATATATATATATTAAAACTTTCAGGTAATTTATTGCTGTTTTTAACAACTGTTATCATTTCGACACAGTGCTCATCCAGTTTCGGTGTGTCCTGCGTACATACTTGCCCACTTTGCTGTTTGTCGCAAGACCTTCAAACTACGTTTCCTACCGGGTTTTATTTTTAGTACTAGGTACACCTTATTATTTTGCATGAGCTCGTCATGTAGTGTACGCTAATGCTCGCTGCCCGTACTATTTTGCACTTTGTTTGTTTCTCATTAAGTATGCTATTACATTGTTATGACGAACTGTCAAGATTTATCCATAGTCCATATGAACTGTTTCATTGCCTCGGCATCGCCTCGCTTTGCTCATTGAATATTATGCGGACCAAAGAAGTGGGGTGGGTCCTTAAGTGGTTAATTGCCCACGTGGTAGGAAAACCATGTGTCCGTAAGCTGCAAGCACTCGGGTGTCTCATTCGGAGAATAGTTTTTATGCTTTCGAAATTTATGGCTGCAATCGGAATTAGCACATGCAGTTACATTTAGTAGGTGAGTGGTCGATTCGAATGGTTGTATGAATTTATCTTGGAACTACAGGGGTGGAGATGCAACAAAGTGTCACGAAAACGGCCGTATAAACTTTTAACGAAAAAGCCTTATTTTTGTAAAGGCTTTAGTACTAGAAACACCGCGAGTCAATAAGTATGCAGTTATTACTGGTCCGAATACCAACTTCAACAGAAATTGTTGCTGCAATGGATTGTTACAAAGGGTTACCACGTTGTTTCATAGATTTGTTGAAAAGAACATCATGTAATTCCAACAAGATCGATTCCATCTTGCTTATACAATGGTAATGGCCTACAGCGTTAAAAAACTGGAGTTATGGCTCGAGACCCCATGACATTCACTCTATTTGGCAGACCCGATTCTCACAGAGTACCATTTATTATTCCCATTCACCCTCACCAAATGTCTTTTGAGAGACCCATATAGCCAAAGTGCTACATTCACTAAGTTACGTTTCACGCTAAACGACCAGTATATAGCAGCATTCGAACTAAATATTGGTAAGCGATTTTTATCTGAAAATTGCTTTTGTTTTTTAATGATATCACACGTGGCGACAGTAGCGGTAAAGACGTATCTGTGAATTGCAGTGAGAAAAAATTGAGATTAGTATTTGATTGGCCCACCGCTGATTGCGATTACTACTACAAGTCTGTTTGAGATGCTTCGAATATATTTTTTCACCATCTTCGACGTGAGGCTCGAGCCTTGGACCTATGCGTTATTCTGAAGTTGGATGATGTTCATTTTTTCCTTGGCCCTGACTCGCTCTTTTATTTAATGTCACAGATTTACGAGCGGATTTAAGTCGAGTGAACCTCAATGCCACTAACCATAAAAAACACAAAGACAAACTCTTCCATATGGTAAAGTGACTTGCCACACATTCCCTTCCAGACTCCGTTCCCGTACCAGATGAAGTATTTTTCTTCTGAACAATTTCGTTGCCTTGCCGTTTTTTTTATAATCCGCTAACATAATATAGGGCCCCTAGACCCTGGATGAAAATCACGGCTAACGTAATTGCTTTGGTTAAACGTTTCAGCTACTGAATTACATATTTGTGAAGTCCTTCGTTTCATTTCGTAAAGACCTTTTGCACGGTACTAGCCAAAATCTGAAGATGCAACTCATAAAAAACAGATCCTTTGTCAGTCTTCAACTGTCCAACTTAGCCGATTTTAATGCTCATACATCTGCACATACTTTAGCCAAGACTTTTTAACTACTTAATGACAGCTATAACCACTCATTTTTATATGTTATCGTAGGTACCTCATGGACACGGTGACTCCGCATTCTAACATCCTCTGGTAGTTGAAAAACCGCTACAAATTGTTCTTTTTTTTGTTCGGTCAGAATGGTCCTGCGTTGTGTATTGTTTTCGATTTTTTCCTGTTTAATAACAGGGGCACTTTATTCATCATCTGGCATCCATTGTCAATTACGAACTTTGATATTACAACCGACTCAGCAAATTCTCTTCGCGGTCGATTTTCTTGCATTGTTTCTACCTACTGGAGTCCGTTGCTTTTCCGTGAGCTCTTTTCCTAATTTTATTCC